GGGCGGGAAAAAACCTTCCAGTCCCGGCCCCCCCGCCGCGCAGGGGAGGACCCTGGGGCTCCCTGATGGAGGAGGCGGGGATGGGGGTGCAAAGTGGGGTGCAACGCTGGTGATGGGGTGAGATTGGGGGGGGGGCTAGGGGTGCCCCCCATGCCCAAAGCCCCTTCAGACTCTTACTCCTCCTCGTTGCCTTTTCACCAAGGGGGGGACGGACCCTGTGCAAAGCAGAGTGTGAGGCTGGAGCACTCCAGTGCTTGCACCCCTCCATCACCCAGGGTGAACTGAGGTCCCCGGCGGGGGGGATACCCCTCGTGCCCCCCCCCCCCCTCCAAACAGGGTGCAGCGCAGGACACCGGCCTCACCCCAACAGCTGGAATGGGGTTCCACCCCTGCCATGCAAGGTGGGGTACGTGGGGGGGGGGGGTAGCTTGGGGTGCCCCCCCCCTCCCCCTAACACCCTTTCAGCCTCATACTCCTCCTTGTGTCCTTTTCACCAAGGGGGGGACCCTGTGCAAAGCAGGGTGTGAGGATGGGGCACCCCAATGCTTGCACCCCTCCATCACCCGGGGTGAATTAAGGTCCCTGGTGGGGGGGTGCATCCCTCCCCCGTTCACCCCCTTTGCCAGAACCTCGTGGCAGCAAAATCCGCCTGCACAAGGATGCCCTGTTCACACCCACCCCTCCCAGCCCAGGGTGCCCCCACCCTGGTGTGGGGTGTCATGTCGCCCCCCCCCCCTGTCCCCGTCCCCAGGGCTGGCAGCACCCCACACGCACCAGGGGCCCCTTCCTGTGTTTGTTAAGACGCCGTGAGTCAGGCGTCTGGCTTTCGGTTTAAGCCAATATTTACCAGCCCGGAGCTGCCAAAATAAAGCCACCGCTTCACCAGTAAATATAGGGCCGAGATGGGGGGGGCACACCCGTTCATGCGTGTCATCGTGCCCCCTCCCCCCCAGCACAGCCACCCCATTTCCACCTCTCTGGTGCCCCCATCCTCCTCTTGCCAGTATAGGGACACCCCAAAATCCCTATCATATATACTAGGAGTTGGCCCAGGCTGTGCCCCCCCCTTATTCTTCAGGGACGGGGTGACCCCCGAAGTGGGGCTCAAGGGGTGTCAAGTATGGGGCTGTGGGCATTTCAGGGACCCCTTGAGGCTGAACTGCCCCTGGGGTTTGGGGGGGTCCCTGCTAGGCTTGGCGAGGGGGGGTTCCCCAGGGCTGGGGGGTCCCGGGCTGTGGGCACACTGCGGCTGCCCCCTGCTGGTCCCGGCGGGGCTGGAGCCCGGACGTTGGCCACATCCTGCTCATGCCAAGGATGCAAAGCCCCGGGCGAGGCTGGCCCTAGGCAGACAGGGCTCCCAGTGTCCCCAGTACGTGTCCTGGGTCATGCCAGCCTCTCCGGGGTGCTCCACACTGGCTTGGAACACTGTGTGGGGCTGAGGACCCCGTGCAGATCCCGTCTCCCATGTCCCCTGCCCCCTCGCTCTCTGGGGGTGCCTGTCTGCTGCAGGAGAGGGGCCGCTGTCCCCATCCCTGTCCCCGTCTCCCCCTTCCTCCAGGTCTCATCTCGCACCCACAAGGACATCGAACTGGTGGCCTCCTGCTGGGACCACCACGATGACGAGATCAAGACCCTCAAGGATTTTGCCACCCACCAGGAGTTTAAAACTAAAATCCAGGTCAGCATTTTCCCCTCTTGCCGGCTTACTGGGACCAGCAGGTCACTGGAGCATCCCCTGCTCTGTCCCCATGCTGTCCCCCATGTCCCTCCCACCACAGCGGGGATCCCCAGGCTGTGCCACCCTCCCAGCCATGTCCCCATGGCACATACAACCCCTACGAGGTCCTTTTTGGGGAGGACACCCACCCAGCTGACTACCCCAGGGAGGGGATGCAGCTCCCAGCATGCAGGGTGACGTGGTGGAGGGGGACACAACCACCGACCACCTACAGCTTCCACAGCATCTCCCACTCCCTCTTCTCCAGTGACAAACCTTTTCTAGGGGATGTTTCCAGCCAGAGCAGCTGCAGCAGCAAATAAACTGATTCCAGCACAACCCAAGCAGCTCCCTCGGGGCCAGGGGCTGCTGCATCTTCTTGCACCCCCTTTGCTCCCCCCAAGCACCCCACTGCCCCCACCCAGGCCATTACACAATTCCATGTGTTGTGCATGCACATATAGGTGAAGCCACCACCTCCCGGTGGCTTTTTTGGCTGGAGGGACACATTGAGTGACAACCCCAGCCCGCAGTTTAGCAGAAGATGCTCTTTACTCAACGCCCA